GTAATCCGCTTAAATGGAAATGCAGATTGGAATTGGAACAATTTTTAGAAATGCGTAAAATTAAATTCGTTAGAATCGAAGAATCCTGTGAAGGGAAAAAATATATGCGGAATGTACTTTGGTTGAATAAAACGGATACTTATTATACTGATGAATGTAAGGCATGTTCGTTGGCTAATCAAATCAAATTCTCTTTAATGTTGCCGACATTTATAATATGCCTTTTGAATATTGTTAGGTATTAAATCAATGCAAATCAATTCGTATAAATTGAAAAAACAAATCTGATCTCAAGAATTGAATTTTGATCGTAATATATGGTGATTTTTTATTAACCAAAATAAAAATACAACCACGATGTCTTCTTAAGTAGAATGTTTAGAACAGTTACCAATACTACTGACAATTAGTTACCGTATAATATGCTTAATAATGTTGTGATGATTGTTAACAATAATTTAATCATTTATTTGATTTGTTTTATTCGTATTTTTTCAAAATTAATTTTTTCATTAATTAAACGGGACCACCGAAAAAGTTATATCACCCTTATATATGTAAATATATTATTTAATTCGTGTGCAGAAAATCGATTGAAATAGTAATGTGTATATATATAATATATTTATTTATTATTAATTTACTTATTCTTTATTTTAATATTTATATATGCGCATATTTAAATTATTTATAAACAAAAGTGAGATCTGCACATATTTGTATTAATTGTAATCAGGAAAAAGCTGTGAAAACTGCCTATTATATGGTTTATATAAGAACCCAAATAATTAATCTAATTTTGTATAAACTGTAGATTTTTTGTTTCTTACCGATATATACATATATATATCGGGTATATAATTATTTTTTTACGCTATTAGAGTAAACATATAAATACTTACATACGCTAAATTTACATATAGAAATACATAACGTTTCTGTGTATATAATATGATTAATATTAATGTGGAATAAGTATTAATGCAAAATAGATATTTTAAATTCGTAGGCAAGTTCTAATCAAACGTTTAAATACTCATACGTAATTTATTTTCTATGTAAATAAATAACTCAATTCTAATAATTATATTTAATTGTATTTAATTAAAATGCAAATGTGCCGTGTAAACGGAAGTTCTTTTGCGATTCTTCAACCGTGCTAATCCAAAGTCATATATTATAGGTAACCTCCAAAGAACACAGTATGTACTTGAAGAACACGAATACCTTACCCCGAATTATATGGTTTCAAACTAAACAATCAAAATCCCGTTTTTTGTAATCTCAAACAACACAGTTTTAAAGAACACAAAACCAATTAATCGTATTCTTCGGAGGTTACTTGTAATTTGTATAGTTTGTAAATCAAAAGTTGAATATATTACTATAAATACTTGCCCCGAAAAGTTGCCCGGCTAGCTCAGTCGGTAGAGCATGAGACTCTTAATCTCAGGGTCGTGGGTTCGAGCCCCACGTTGGGCGAAAATATTTTTTTGAATGCAAATTCTTTTTGGGAAGGTGAGAAGTATTATTTCTGAAATCATTTTTCTATTAAATATCGTTAATAATATAAATTAAGAGTTCTTAATTAAAACTATTTTTACAAATTATTTGTTCTTACTTTTTTTTTTTAAGCCTACCTCAAGTAAAATATAATTTATTTAACTATCAGGAATAAATTAAGAATATTTAAATATTAAAGTATGTTATATGTGTGTGTGTACAGATACTATTAATAATTTTAGTTTTCAAGTATAGTGTAAATGTGTAGAAAAAAATAATTAATAGTCTAATATTTCAATGAGGGCACAAACATAAAAAACTTAAGAAACTAAAAAATTTATATTTTTGATTTATAAAATATAAAAAAAAAATATCCATTAGCAGAGCATGGTTTCGATCCACGGACCTCTGGGTTATGGGCCCAGCACGCTTCCACTGCGCCACTCTGCTGTTGTTATAACCACTCATTAAGTACAGTATTTTGGTTACTATTATTTTACAATACAAAAATATTTATATTATAATTTAAAACAAATATATATATATATATATATATATATATATATATAAATAACAGTAAATAAGAACTAAAATATTTTTATATTTTCCTATAATTATTAAAAAAAGATAGAATGAATAAATATAGTCTTGATATATTTTATTGATTTTAGATGTCATCTAGTAATGAAATATTATAACTAATTCACTAATCTTCTTTATCTACATAAATTATATGTTTACATATGGTAAAGAAGATTTATAATATTTTATTTTTTAATAGTAAAATATTTCTAAGACTTATATGAAATAATAATAACAAGTAAAAACAGCTAATTTATTTGTAAATAAAATTATTTACGCAATTTATTTTTGTAAATTTTTCATTATATTTATTACCATCAATAGATAAGAAGAGTGTTTTGATTCTATCTCACTTAAATAACGGCCACAGCTGAACGTTACATATAAAAAAAAAATACATTTTTTCAATATAAACTTATTTATAATATATATTTTCATATATTATATATTTTATATAACTATTTAATATATACATATATACTTTTTAGAAAAATCCATTCGTTAGTTCGAAATATGTTTTTTCTAAGGAACGACATATAAATTTAATTGAATTACTCCTGAATACAACAAAATTATAGAGGAAACTTAGCACGCATCTTATTCTTTAATAAATTAAATCCATTATATAAGAGATAGTTAATAATTATTAAAAAATATGTCGAAAGTCATAAAATGGTATTCAATCGTAAAATAAATGTTATTTGACTCGCGCAGTATCACCTAACTGTTCTCAAGTGATACTGTATACGTGAGTATGTATGTGTTCTACCTTCTCTCTTCATCTATCTTTCTCATGGTCCATGCGACCACACACATATGCATTTACAAAATAACATATACAAATATTATACAGCTAACTTCCCTCTTCTCGTTTACACGTGCACATATGTATAGATGTTGTGTATATGTATGATGAGCATGAAGATGGAAGCATATGACGCAATCGATGACACATATCGACTGCGGAATTTTATTTTCAAAAATGAAATAATAGAAATATAAATTTTAACGTTCATATTTTATACGATTAGCTAAAATAAAAAGAAAAAAAAAGAAAAAAAAGAAAAGAAAAAAAGGAAAATATATATCATTTCTATGTATACGCGACACTGGAAAGATGAAACTACGAGTTCTCTTATCCCACTTGTGTGTGAAGCGAAAGTCGCCAGCTGGCAACGCTATTTTGAACGTGTTGCGACGTTGCCGATAATCAAATTGAACAAGTTCAAACGTGTGCCCCGCGTTATTCAGCTCTTGGAAAAAGAGATATGGTAGCTAAGCGTATCGTTGATACAAGAAAAAACGTGTTTTTTTTTAAATATTTCTTACATATATAATTGATATGGAAACTTACAGAAAAAATAAACTTGATATCATTTTTTTTTCTAGAACGTTTCTTATCGGAATACTTTGTCCTTCGATCGCTAATTTCAAAAATACATAATCTTATTATTCTTGCGCTGCGAATGGCGCACATATCGCTTCTATAATATATTTCCTTAATATTTCTATTCTATTTGTATGCATCTTTCTATGCAGAAGAAAGAAACAAGGAAATAAAACATCGAATAAAAAAAATAAACAACAATACTAAGGAAACGTAATTTAATGAATGATCATTAATTAATCCACATATATATAGAGCTGTAGAGAGGTAGAAAAGCTATAAGTGGTATCGGTTGTGTTGGGTGGTGATATCGTCTGGACAATTTTGCTAACAACAGCCGAATCACCGTTGTTGCATCCCATAGCTGGACAAGAAGTAAGTATACTTAGTTTCGACTAGCAAAGAAAAGATCTGGCAACATTGCAACTGCGTGAGACGATATGCGCGGCACGAATAGCAGCGACGTGTGAGCCCCAGCGTGGTTGTATTGCGACGTTTGAGGTGGGGCGGGAAGACAGAGATGTGGAAAGGAGTGAGAGGAAGGATAAAAGTTTCCACGGTGGTGGGGGGTAGTTCGAGCGAGCAGCTATGTAAGGAGGATTGTATGTATTGCGTTGTGTATGTGTGTGCTCAGTGATTGTAGGGCAACTCAGTTCTATGATACGAATGTATGTATGCGTGGTATTGTGTGTATTTATGTATATACAGTAATCGCGTCGATACGTCACTAAGAGGGGAAGCTCCTCTGTCGGCGACGGAGAGTTAACAGAAATTTTCGTAGGAGTTTGTTGGAGAGCTGTATCTAGTTCCCTTTTTAAACCCAGAGCGCGCTCAAACGAAGGTCCACAATTGTGTGAAACTATCATCATCACATTTACCGTATAAGGTTTATATTCGTCGATGTCAAGAACATGACGTCGTCGCACGATTGTAAATACTTATTTACGTGCGTTTAAATCTTTGTTAGAAAGGAAGAGTTCGTCATTGGGTAAATCCCATTCATCGAAGCCGATTGAGAATCGATTTATCGCGGAAACAACTATTTATTAATTTCTACGTCCTATATATCTCTTCGTTCGTTTAAATTCGTTAAATTACTTTTAGTATCCTTACATCATTATTTATAAATATTTAAATATTAGCAACAACGAATCACATGAATATAAATATTTTAGTTTTCGTTAATGAGAATGTCATGTATGTATATATATAAATATTCGTTCAATCAAATAAACATTGATCTCGTAAGGTTTAAATTTAATTGGTACATAACATTTCAAAATTCGATAGTTAAGAATTAGCTTTTCGATAAAGTCGAAATCCCTCTCGTAAAATCGAAATTGTTATGTCCTTCGAGTCAGTTTTAAATGAATTTCAAATTTTTGTAAAAGAACGCGTTAACATCTGTATTATAATGTAAAATGTTATGAATTATTACAAATTACACAATTACACAAATAAATTAACGGAATTTTTTCTAAAAGTATTGTTATTAAAGAAAAAAAAAGATATATATATATATATCTTATATATATCTATATACGGCTAAGAGGTATATAGAGGTTTTTTTGAAAATATTCGAGCATATAGAAAGTTGGTAAGATAGAAGAGAGTAGTAGCGCGATTCCAGTGAATATATGCGCTCGTGTTTCTCAGTCAGTGAAATCAGCGTAGAAGGAAAGAGAGAGAGAGGTAAAGAGAAAAGGGGAGTTCCCCTTCTACGAAGTCCTATCCCTACTACTCGATACACCGAGGTTGCCACTGCTATTCTTTGCGGGGCCATAGTTGCGCGAGTGTGCGTGCGTCTGTTGAACTACGTGCGACCAGCCCAGTGCTGTTAGTAATGTAAGCCTTTCGTTCTCGTATACGTGTCGAAATAAAGAAAGAAAGAAAGAAAGAAAGAGAGAGAGAGAGAGAGAGAGAGAGAGAGAAGGAAAGAGCGAAAGAGAGCGCGCATTAGAGCTCTAGTAATCGTGAAAAGTATTCTTTCGTTAATTTGGCTAACCATCATGCCGTTAAGTATCGGAGTTAATTTAAGAGTGACCGGCCACTGTAATCAAGGCGGTCGTAAGTACATGGAGGACATGTTCAGTGTGGCCTATCAACAGACACCGGATGACAAGGATTTGGAGTACGCCTTCTTTGGTATTTTTGACGGTCATGGGGGCGGCGAGGCAGCGGCATTTGCTAAAGAACATCTTATGGATATTATCGTTAAGCAAAAAAATTTTTGGAGTGATCGAGACGAGGATGTTTTACGAGCCATCAGAGACGGATACGTGAATACACATTATGCGATGTGGCGGGAGCTTGGTAATAAATAGTCAACAGTATTTATATTCCTTTTTTATCTTTCCTCTCTATCTCTTTTTCTTTCTCCTTCTTGTTTGTTTGTTTGCATCTGTCTCTCTTTGTATTTTTTCTTTCTTTTCTCTTTTTCCTTAGAACGATAATTACATTCGATCGTGATAAAAGTCTCAATGATGAGGAATTAAACTTATAATTCGTTACTTTTTTCTCTCTTTTCCCTCCATTTTTATAATAATCTACTCGTTGGCCCGCGTATTTCCCCTACCCATCTTCTCACCCCGCTACTGATTACGTTAGAACTTAGGTTATGTAACTCGTGCTAACCTAAAACTGTCTGATTTAATCGAATTTTAAGTGTATTGGAAAATTATTCTCATTTATTATATTATTATTAGAATGAAATTTCATTTATCGTGTTTCTTGTGTGTGTTTTAATGTTTATATTGTTAAGTTCAATATGTATATATAAAGACATATGTATATGTATATATTAAATATACACAAATATATATATATATATATGGTCAAAGTTTAGTTCTGAGAAACAAAATATTCATAAAAATAATGAATGCCTTTAGAGTAAAAATAGTATACTTTACATTTTGTATTATTTCTTTTTCTTTTTATCAAGGAGAAAATATTTTGTTTAAAATTGCCTTTTCATACATAAATATCGCCTTTAAGTTTAATGTCAGCCTTTTCATATTCTAGGCTATTATATTTTTATTTTTATTATATTTTTATTATATTTTATTTAGGCTATTATAGTTTTTCAAATTTTTTTAATTAAATATTTTTCCATGCTTCTTGTAGAAGTTGTTAAAGATATCCAAATAAAAATTCATTCCTTGTTTATGGAATTAACACAATTTGTTAATATTTAATATAATAACGATAGATAATTTCAAAATTTAATCTTTAGTTTATGTATAAATGTAGACCTTTTTTGCTAAATGCATACTCTAGTAAAATCCTTCTTTTTTTAACAGATAAATGGCCAAGAACGGCATCCGGATTACCATCTACTGCTGGCACTACAGCAAGTATAGCTTTTATAAGAAAAGGAAAAATTTACATCGGGCACGTAGGTGATTCTGGAATAATATTGGGATATCAACCGGATGGAGATCCGCAGTGGCGTGCTAAAGCATTGACTAAAGATCATAAGCCTGAAAGTGGTCCAGAAATGATACGCATACAGGAGTCTGGTGGGAAAGTTGTTAGCAAATCAGGTGTTCCACGAGTCGTTTGGAATAGACCACGAATAGGACATAAAGGTCCCGTTAGAAGATCAACTCATATAGATGAAATACCATTTCTAGCTGTTGCCAGATCTTTAGGTACATGATTGCAATCGTTTATAGTAATGCAAACGTGAAAAGAAGATTGGAGTTGTTATTTATAAAGGATTGTGATAATCTGGTAGAGAAAACAATATATTCTATGATTCATAGGTGATCTTTGGAGTTACAATTCAGAACTAGATACATTTATAGTGTCTCCAGAACCAGATGTTAAGGTTGTTACAGTTGATGTTAGGTCATACCGATGTCTTATTTTTGGAACAGATGGTTTATGGAATATGTTGACTTCCCAAGCAGCCGTAGCTATTGTTCAGGCTGCTGAGATGCACAATGAAAAACATATTATAGCTTCTCAACAAACTGGCAATGGGGTATGTTGTAAGATTACATTAAAATTCTAAAAATACCTTAAATAAATATATATATTTATTTGATAGCAGGCTGATGTACAAATGTGGATAAATCCATCTAAAAGTTTAGTAGATAGAGCATTGGAAAGGTGGTTATCGACAAGATTACGTGCTGATAATACAAGCGTTGTAACCGTTATGTTAGATCCTCCAGGACCTTCTCGTAGTGAGGTAAAAACCCTGTTTTGTTTTCTTTAAAACATGATATTCCGAAATTCGTCTTTTTGACGGGTTCCGTAAATCTAGTGTTAATATAATTGATGTATTTCTTTTTAAAGGTATTGTTAAATCAAAAGAAAGAACTCTCACCAAAAAGTATAATACATCATCATCAAGGAGTTCAACCTCTCGATCCAAATGTTTTTAATGAAACTATTGAAAAACCTATATCAGATACTGCCGCCTCATCTGTTTTAAGTCACGTGGCACCAAATGATGATTCAGATATAAATGGTCTAAAGCAACCAGATTCTTCTGATGAAATTAATGAACATTTAGATAAATCTACAAAAATTGAGAATAATTCATATGTCGAGAAATTAATTTTAAACGTAGATACCTGTGATGTCGATAAAATTTTAGCGACGAGAGAAATATATGAGAATATAATATCTAATATTGAAGGTATTATTCAAGTAGCTGAAATTTCATCATCAGATATATCTGAGGAAGTAGAATATACGAAATCGAAGGAATCCAAAGTTTCTAATAAGACTGAAAATTTGAACAAATTGGATGGCGATGAAAAAATAATACAAGTTGAAACAAGTAACAAAGAAAAAAGGGTAGAAGATGACAACTATGATGATGGTGGTGGTGGTGGTGGTGGCGGTGATGGTGATAATGATGAAGAAAATGAAGGTAGAGATAAAGAACAAGAAGAAAAAATAATAAAAAATATTAGTGCAAGTGTTGTTGAGGACCAGATGACAAAATTTCAGTTAAGTCATAATATTGAATCGAAGAGTAAAGAAAATGGTGAATCAAAAGTTCCCAAAATGATTCGAGAGAATGTAGCATTAAACGAAACTTATGAAATACCACCATTAGTTATTAGCAAATTCGAACGTTCTAGCGCAATTATACCTAGTAGAAAAAACACATTACAAGACGTTGAATTGTTTAATGTATTAAATGGTAATCAACGATTACCAAAGCAACAACATACATTAATATCATCTAATTCAGTAGATGAAATGAGACCATCGAGAAGACGACATAGTTTGAATTTACAATCCCAGAATAATTTTTCTGATACTCTTCCTATAAAATCTAAATCGTATATGACACTTAATTCGAAATTGAAGTCGAAAAGTACAAGGACGTTAGAAAATAATGAAGAATTTAGTAGGAGTTCTATAAGATACAATAGAACAACAAATAATAGCAGTGTAAGTAGTACGAAACGTAGACATAGTACGATGTCGTCTCAATCGGTAACAACAGTTGTCTCAGGATTAGAAGAATCATCGCCAGAACCATGTTTGAAAAGAAGAACGCGTTCGGAGGATAGGCCAGTTCCTCCCATTGATGAAAACAATCCAGCTAATCAAACCATGGAGGATCCAAATAGTCGTTTGAGTTGGCCTATTACTGATTCTTCTATAAATGGTAGATCATCAGGTGGAGGAGGCAGTTCTAGTTCTGTTTCAGTACAAGAAAGACGATTATCTTCGCCAAATACTTTCCAAAGAAGAAGCTTAGGGAAAAAAGCAACACCGACTAAAAGTATTAGGCGATCTTCTATAAATGGACCTGCTCGTTTACAACAATTGAGAGGTATATTTGGATTCAGAGATTGGGATCAAGGAAGAAATAATAGATCTAACAGTTGCAATGACAGAAGGTTAAATCGTACTGCAGGCATTATTGGACCATTGGATTCTGGAATACCACAACGTTGGCTTAGGTTTGTCTTTGTTATTTGTTAAAAGTGGATACCCTTTGCATTTCTTTTTCATTCTTAATATTTACGATTATTATTATTTAAACAATCAACAGATCAGACACAATGGCTGCAACACCGGTTAAAACATTGCGTTCACGTAACGTCGATATTACTGGTCACACTATTTCTGCACAATTAGTTCATCATTATGGAGTAGTTAAGCAGAATCGTTTATCTTTACCCACCAAATTAAAGCAATCCAATAACAATGGAGTATTACAATCTAAGAGGGTAAGGTCTGCTTCTATGTCATCAAATAAATTTAAACAAACAGGTACTAGTGGTACAAATGTAGGAGCATGTTCTACAATAAACAGTACAAGTACAGGACCAAATAATGGTTCTGGTATAGCTAAATGGGTTAAATCTTTATGTAATCCTAGTGCAAGATCATTGAGTACACGATCTCGCATCAAGCGCCTTGGTAAATGAAATTCTATAATATATAACTTTCCCTATGTTTTTGTTCATTTATTCAATTAGTATTACGTCTTTTTTTTTGTATTTTCTTTTTCTGACTAAGTTTTTTCATCCCTCTTCTCACCCCTAAGATTATTTTTAAAATACAAGCAAATGAGTACCAATTTAAATATAGCATTTTATATCAATATCATAACCGTTATATGACATGGATTGTAGATACATCAAGGACTTTGTTCGTACGTTTTTTTTTTTTACTGTATTTTTGTTTTTCAAAATTGCCCTGTATGAGATTTGTTTATTTTACTATAATAATGTAATCATACTTAAGTAAATACACAAGCAACAAATCTACATAAACATAATAATATCATTAAATGGATGCAATGTTTATATGCATCACAATAATTGCTGGAACAACTATATATATATATATATATATATATACATTTTTTTTCTTTTTCATTCAATTTTCAGAAATAGCAAGATTTTTCTTGTTATTATAATAAAAGCGGTTTTTTTTCTTTTTACACAATCCACATATATGTTTAATTATTAATACATTTTTATAACAAGTAGAAAAGTGCATGATGACTAGGATGTAATATATGTGGAAATTACATTCCGTATTAAAAGTAAGATGCATAATTGTTAATAGAATGTGTTTTATGTTGTTTTACAAAAAAAGAAAAAATTGATTCTATTTTAATTATTTTTTATTTTATAATTGAAAAGTTCACTTTTTGTTTCTTATTCATAACTATCCAATAACGATTAGTTCTTCCAGCAATACACATAATATTATAATGTTAATTAAAAAGATTAACATGCCTTTTATCCAATTAAATATTTTCTTTATTCGCATAAAATATATTATTATAGAAGGAAATTATAGTATGAAAATCAAATTTGCAAATGTGAAAATCATTAGATAAATTATAATGACCGTATGAACAAGTTATGACTTTTGCAAAAAAAATATCGTTATTTATACAAAAAAAAAAAAATTAGTTAATACAAATACAATTTTAATGTGAAATGAAAAATTTAATAATATATTTAATTATTATTAATTTATTAGTAAAGATATAAAGAAAAATTCTTAAAAAAAAAAAATGTTTTCCAAAAATATTTAAATTTCAAGAATACGAAGAAAAGTTTAGAAACATTTTATGAAAAAAGTGATAAAAAAAAATGTATAGCAAAGATAATTTGTTAATTGACATGTGCCTATAACAGTTACCATTTTAACATACATGTACAGTACATTCACATACCATGCACTTATGTATATAAAAATAAAAGTAAAAAGGTTATATGTATATATATATATATAATATATATATATAACTATATATAAAACAAAAGGATTTAAATCCTTGCATCGTTATCATGTTTTGTTTTCTTTTATTTTTAATAAATTGTATAGAAATGAATAATTATTTTTCTCAAAAAAGGTTATAAAAACTAGTATGAAAATATATGATTCTAAGTCTTATTAAAAAAAAAAAAGGTTGTTTTTTTGGTATGTGTATGTGGTGACTGTTGCATAACTGTATATAAATGTATATATATATATACTTATAATTATGAATCGACCGATATATCAATCAGTATATATATATATATATTTATAAGATATATATATATACATATATATATATAATGGAATTTGAATGTATGTAGTTAAAAATGTACACTATCATGCTATGAAGAATTTAAAGTATAAAAAGAAAGAAAGAAAAAATTAAAAATGATTATTATATTCTTCATTGCATTTATTTATGTATAAATTTGATAAGAAAAAAAAAAAATATAAATTGAAATACCTTCGACACAGTGTTGAAAATAAAGAAATTTAAAAAAAAAAAAAACAATATAATTAAGTAGTAATAAAATAATACTAATAATAATAATGATAATAATATAAATATAAAGATAAATATCCCTTATAAAGAGACTAAGAGTATTTTCAAAATGCTGTAATAGCTGTTTTACAAAAGAAATAGAAATAAGTGGTGAAAAATATAATAATGAAAAAGAAAAAAAATATCAGAGATAGAGAGAAATATTTTATCTCAGGTTTAAGGAAGCGTGAAAGTACGAAAGGGATAAGAGTATAAATGATACTTTTGAACAAATGTGTGTGTGATGATCACGTTTATATAACCTGTATATTTTAATTAAATAAAAAAATATACACATAAACTCTATGATGAGTTTTTGTACGATATTATTATATTATAATCGCCAGATATTAATAATATAATGATTAATTATTATTATTCTTTACTCTTATCTTTTTTTTCTACCTGATTGGCAATATGTGCCCCCTCATTAGTCTTTTTTTATAGGTGATATGAACACTTTACTATTATTTGTGAAAAATTTCAAAATATTGTCTAATTTAAATATTCATATTCTTCTTCATCAGAGGTTTTTTCATTTTGTTTTTGGAATCCACTAGTTCACTTCTGTTTTCTTTATACCTGTCCCTTCCCTACTATCTTTGGTGAACAATTGCTCTTCCGATTCAGAAAAATTACTTCCTCTGCAAAATTCTAAAATATTACTTATACAATTGTAAATAAAAAAAAAAAGAAATAAATATATATTTTTTTAATTTTATGACCTGTTCTAAGCGATGATTTATTACATTCTTGAGATAAAGTATTTAACATTTACATAGAGAGATAAATTGTAGGTTTCCAGAGAAAAGAAATTCCAAGAAGCAGACGAATAATCAAGCATGTGTACTTCAATTATTATTATTATTATTATATAAAGTTATCTAATTTAAAAAAGAAATGAAAAAAAGATTGTTTTAGATGTCGGTAGAAACGAGAGATCTATGGATTGAAATTATTTTTAAATAATATCAATTAAATCGGCTAATTAATTTAACGTATTGAAAAATTCTCAACATATTAAAAAAATATAATAATAATAAATTATCATATAATTGAAGAAAATTATTAAAGTATGGAGGGTAGAGGTAAGGAGTATCATCTCTGTATATGAAAAAAGTGTCCGTCGAAATGCATTCAATTAGGGTGGCGCCACAGTAGCTTCAGGGTAAATTTTAAAGGAAGCGCCAAATATTATTAGAGTAGGATTGAGAAATAAACAAGAAACACAAACTTTACCCATAATTATTTTGTTATTCACATACTTTTTTCATAAAATTAAATGATTAAAAAATCAATAAACGTACTATTCACAGTTAACGAAATAAAATCACTCTAGCTACACGTTTTCTCATAATAATTCTTTAAGGTTATATTTACTACATTATTTTGTACTACGCAAGTAGTTGAAATTTTCAATAATTAACTACTTTAGTCGCCAATAATATTAAATTTTTTAACACGGCATACTTCAATTCGTTTACAATTGCTACACTCATATCATACCTTTTGTCTACATCAGCGCCATTCTGGAAGGTTTTTGAACTATTATTTATAGCATACGTTGGACACTTTTTCAAATTTTCTCCCATAAGAGATGTTACTCCTTACCTCTATCCTCCATATATTAAAGTTATGTGTATACCAGGGGTATAAGTAAATAATAAAAAAAAGAATAAATATCATTTGACTTTATTTTTTTTTTTGTATAAAACAAGAGAGGAACGCAATAATCGCATCATATAGTTTTTATAATGGCAATTAGAGATTATAAAAAGTATTTATTTTGTTTAAAAGGAATGAATAAAAGAGATAAAACATTTTTATCGATAAAATTCTAAGCGTACCCCAACATTAGCAGATGAATCGTTTACGTCAAATATTCATACACAGGATGGTTCATTAAAATAAAAATGAAATGTATTTCTAAGAAATAATTAAGAAAAAAAAATTCTTTTTATGATTATATATTTATCTTTTAAAAGTTATATTATTCTTTTTATTATATTATTTAATAAATATTATTGTATATATGCATGTATATATACATATAAAAAAAATATTCTAATAATCAATGTTTTTTTTTTCTATTTCAAATGTACCATCTTGTACATACATATATACGTAATTCGATTATAATTTGTCGCTATTATTTAGTGTAATATACGCGCATGTATGTAATATGCCATACATAGCTTATTAATCTGTTGCAAATGAAAAAAAATATATATATATATATATATATGCATATATATGTATAGTATCTTATGAGAAATACGTATAGCGACGATAAAGATTTCATTTATTTCAATATAATTTATTTATTTTTTTTTTTATTCTTATAATATTTGATCGCTGTTACTATTTTTTCATGGATAGGGTTCAAAAAGGGTGTAAAGTGAAAATTTTATTATATACACACTGCAGCAAAAATGAATGAAGAAAAAAGATTGAAAATTATTTTTTAATATGTGAATCAATTAATAAAAACTTATTTCTTTTTTATTCTTCGTAAAGAAAAAAATCGTCTATTTTGTTATATTTTTTTTTAAATTTATAAGAAAACTTGTATAATTTTCTATTTACTTAGTTCGCCTATAAAAATACAACTTTTTTTGTGTACAGAGAAAGATATATTTAAAAATGTGAATTTGTATAATATAGTATACTTTATTTACAACCAGTTAAATGTAATTAGGTCACAATAATCTCTTTCTCTCTTTTTTTTCTTTCTTTCTCTCAATAGGTTTTACATCCATATATATATCATGGATATATATTATTATATACAGGTAAAGAGAAGAAAAAGAAAATACAACATATGGAAATAGGTACAACTTATATAGAGATGAATAATAAATATACTATTATTACACATTATTAATATGTGTGCCATTAATTATGAAAATGGTCCAAGTCTAAAATTCAAATAAATATAATTTATCATTTCTTTCTTTTTCTTTTTTGTTTATATCGGTCTACATTACAATAATGCGTAGAGTTGTAGTAAAAAAAAATATATTTACATATGTATTAATATATATATATATATATATAATTCAGATTATACTTTTTCATAATCAACGGCTACATGAAATGTTCATTAATGTGATCGGGCACAATATTACTTTCTATGAATCACAATATTTAACTTAAATGCAATATGGTATATAGGGTGTCAGCATTTTTTATACACATTTCTTTTTTCTCATTAATATAGAATAGGTATTAGGCGAGTACTAGTTTCGGAATTAAAGATTTCTTTTGAATTTTTTATTTTTTTTTTATTTTCTTCTCTCTAATTCTTTTCAAATATTTTTCAAGTAATAAACTCATAAATATTATGTGTATTTTTATTTTTTGTGAAATCAACATAGGCATACTGTATATTATATATGAATATACATACGCGTACATAATAATTTCAATCATTATAATGATTTCATTTTATTTTAAAATATATATCCAATTGTTTTTAAAAAAAATATTGATAATAATAGAATAAATATAAAAAGAATATTTTGATAATAGAATGATGAGAAAATTCTAGTAATAAAACATCAACGATTGTAGTTAAGATATGTCGTTGAAGAGGTCTTGTTGAATTATAATTGCAATTTCTAATCAATTATTCATTCTAGTATTCATTTGCAGTCTCATACATTTAAAAAAAAGTAAATATAAAAAATGTATGACTTTGTAAAATGAAAAAAGTGGAACTTTTACAGTATATATATATTGCATGTTTATCGCATATATCTGCGATTTCAAAATAAAGGAGTCATATAATCGTTAAGAAAAACATTAAAAAGGAACAAAAGAGTAATAAGTTTCTTCCTATGCTCTTAAGAATAGTGACTCATTCAGCCATTTAAATTAAAAAATAAAAATAGATGATAATGTATTTGTATACAATGAAACTATTAATCTTTAAATCCTGTTTGAATTATTCATGCAACCATATACCTATATTCGAGGAGCACGTTCATATTTTGATCGATTATTATCATATAGTAGAGACATACATATGTATGCATGTATGATGTATACGTATATGAATGTATGTATGTATGTATGAATTTTGTGCATGTTTATACACATAAGAGATAAAGACGATAAGGCACAGAGTATACATATTACAATTATTATAATTATTAATCTTATATTCTATATATATATATATATATATTATATATTATAGTTTATGGATTATATTAAATATACGAGCGACAATTACATACATAGATTATAGCACAGCCTCTAGAAAATTAAGATTAAAGGCTGAAAATGTGAAAGGAACTTGCGATGCAAGGCGACCTTCGACCGGCAAAATATAACATTATCTAGTTCTGTCAAACTCTCTTTATGCGATAGTTTCCTTGAAAGTATAGATATTTAGTTTGAGTGCGGTTAAGAGGTTTTATTTTCTTTCTTTTCCCTAATGAAAGTAAAACTAACTAAGTAGATATATGCCAGTGATTATGAAAGTGATCTAGAAATCTTGCAAAATTATATTTATCATTTACTTTTTGTTACATTCATCTATGCTATATCATACTGTTTAATCATAAAAAAAAAATATATGTGTATATTGTTTTGATCACTTTTATAATCATTGATTCATACATCGGTATGACATAGGTACATACATATATATATATATATATATATATATATATATATATATATATATATATTATT